AGCCTGTGGGCTCAGGCAATCCACTCACCTCAGCCTCCCAAAGGCGCGGGATTACAGGCTGAGTCACCGAGCCCGACTGACTGTGTAGTTTTTAAGACTTAAGTTTAATATTCAAACTTTGAAAAATTCAGCTTTGGGCAACATAGCAAAACTCTGTCTCTAAAAAAAATTAAAATTAGCCAGGCGTGATGGCACATGCCTGTAGTCCCAGTTACTCCACAAGCTGAGGTGGGAGGATTATTTGAGACCAGGAGTCCAAGGTTGCAGTGAGCTGTGATTGTGCCACTGCACTCCAGCCTGTGTGACAGAGCGAGGCTCTGTCTTTAATTAAAAAAAAAAAAAACAAACCCATGTGTGTGTGTGTGTGTGTGTGTGTGTGTGTGCACGCGCGTGCATGTGTGCAGAGAGACTTCAGATAGGTATCACCCATTAGTAATAAAACTGCAGATGCTTACATCAAAATACAATTTAACTATATCCATACTTTATCTAATTCAGATTTTAAGTATATGACAAAAACAATTAATATTAATGAACATCATTCATCTTCACACATTAAAAAAATTGTTAACTTAGTTCTAACACATAAAGCATATAAAGCACATTAAGCATGTAATTTAATGATAAAAAGGCAAAGATAAGAGTATTAGGTTGAGGTTCTCTAGCTCCGTGGTTTGCAAACTTCTGGGCACAACACAGATTGCCAGGTCCCAACCCCAGTGGTCCTGACGCAGGAGGTATGGGATGGGGCCTGAGAATGTGCATTTAACAAATTTCGAGGTGACGTCCATGCGGCAGTCCAGGAACCACAACTTTGAGAACCATTGCTTTTGCTTAATAAAAAGTGGCAGATACATGTATGCTTAAGTTGGGCATGATATTAAGCCAGATTTACAGATAAAAAGAGACTTAAGTTATGCACCTAAGTTCTTACTTAGAAGATACCAATACAATTACTGACAATCAGTACCAACATCTAACTTGGCAAGTCCTTGACAGAGAATCTAACTTGCAAAACAGTTACTGTCATTCCTTTTACATAGATGAGGAAGTAAGGTTCTGAGTGCTAAGGCTGTGTTGGAGTGACAGGGCAGAGTTCATAGGAGGCTGACAACCCCAGCAGTGGAGAGCCTATCTATCGAGTGTAGACACAGTGCTAGTTACAGGAGAAAAAGTTAGATAGAGCCTTGGCTGCAGGGCATTCATTCTGACAAAGAACAAGGTACTAGAAGAAAAACAGAGGGAAAAAGTTAACATTTACTTCAAGGGCAATACGTGCCATCAGCTCTTGAACTATGAATCTCAGTTTAGAATTACACTCTTCTAGAGTCTTACTAGACTCTTGCCTGAAGCTTTATTTCTCCAGCCTGATTGTCTTCTCCTGAGACAGGACACAACCCATGTTTTCACACTGATCACAAGATCCTAACAAGAGTTCCAGAAATACTTAGGAAGGTACAGGCTAATGCAGCAACTGTACCCTCTGTTTAAAATGACACATATATGAAATATGTGCAAGGACTCAGGATTTTTTTTTTAATCACTCAGACTGCATCCTCTTCCTCTTCCTCTTCCAGAGGAAGAGGACCATCATCAACGGCAAAAGGCAGGGAAGCACCACCAAGAGCTGGCTTCAGCTCAGGAGGAACATTGCACTTCTCCCTTGGGAATCCAGTAAAGATATATTGTTAATATATTTCTTTGCACTTAAATCTTAACTGCAACTGTATTTAATAATGTTGAGTTTTAATCAATGGTATTACTAACTTATTTCACTCAAGATGTCAGTGTTCAAATAAATTGCAACAAGTAAGTTTTCGTAGAGAAGACAGAGCTGGCTGAGTAAATACCAGCTAAAATAATTAGCCTGTAATCCCTCGCCTTTGGGAGGCTGAGGTGAGTGGATTGCCGAGCCCGCGGGTTCGAGACCCGCCT